TGTTTGTTTGTTTTTGCCTATTCTCTCCTGTATCCACCATACCTAGTACCTTGGACCTGACTAGAAAGGACAGGGGTTGACATACATTGATCAAAAATATCTTGAATTTAAGAGCTTACATTGGTAGGAGAAGCCATCTCTGAAATTTCTCTCAGGCTGTCAAGCTGAACCACAGAAGACAGAGTCTGTCACAGCACCAAATGCATAGCTCCAGATTCTGGCCTTAAACAATTTCTTTAAGGGAAACTTTCATTTTCCTGCAGTAAAACTCACAAAACAGCAGTAAGTTGGTGCATCCAAGCTGATTATGTCTACGACCTGCACTGATCAGCTGGAGGAACCCCTAAGCACACTTTAATAATGGATAACATTTCTCCAATTTCATCTTCTGTTTAGAGACCGTCCTTCAGTCGTAAATCAGCTCTATGACCTAAGAACCGGGCAGGGGATTGTCAAAGTCTCTTTACTGAGTAATTCCAGAAATGCCTTAAAGCTCAACAAAAGAGGGAGCTGACATTAGGAGCTGGAATTTATACCAGGGGAGCCCCAGCAGGGCAAAGCAAAACACTGGGCTGAAAGCACACTGAGATCTTTTCAGATTGTCTTTATAGACATCTCCTCATCTGTGGAAGAGGCCAATTAATTTGTTTTTGAATGAAAAATGAAGCAAATTAATTGACTAAATCTCTCCTTAAATTGTAGCTGTGGCTGAATCTCTGCCTTAGAAGGGCCAATCATGAAAACACCGCTGTGGGGCTGATTGACTGGACAAAGAGCAAAGCAGTGGTCTCCTGAACTGGATGGGAACCTTCCACCATTAATGGTGAAGAGTAGAGGCTGCATCACCTTCCACGGCCTGTGAAGCAGCATGAGCCACCCAGGAAAAGCACTAAGAAAGCTCAACATAACTTACAACAGGACAACATTCTTTAGAACACAACTTGACTAACTAAGGATGTATTGACTTCTAATAAGGATGTGTTTTATCCCAATATATTAAAAAAAAAACAAACACAACGTTTTCCTGTCATTTGTGGACATGTTATGCAAATATTTTTTTCTTTCATCAAATGAATCAGTGGAAGATTTTGATCTGGTAGTTTACCTTTTTCTTCAGAGTAACCTATTTATATTCTACCCAATTAAAGTCAAGACTACAAGTTAGTAACTAAAAATCTATACACACCGTTCTCACCCAGCACCTAGGAGCTGTTCAGCATTACACTAGATACTGGAACATATTCTTAATTGCTGGTTTGCTGGGTTTGGTTTGAACATAGAGGAAATCTATGTTATCTACCAGGTAAGCGCAGACGCAAGACAGATGTAAGTAGACTTAAAAAAAAATAACATGTGAGTAAATTTGGAGTTAATGAGCTGAGCTTATTATATTATAGGTCACTGAGCAATTAAGCAAAAATGTTATTGAGCCACGAAGTTGCTTGTTCTTACAATTTGAAGTGTTTCTTTTAGAAGTATGTCTTCACCAAAGCCCTTACTCTTCTTGCACGTGGTCTCTCACGTTCCTACTCTTGATCTTAAGTATCTGGAGAGTAATAGCTTGTTTTTTGAAGGAGGCAAAAGCTGGGTTTTACCACTTGTCAGTGACCTGGCTAGAGAAGTAGGGAGCTCATTAATTCAGTTGAGGTAGTCACCGAGAGAGAAGTGGAGTCCTTAGCAGACGGAAAGGAATTTCAAAATGACCTTGCTAAGCTGATAGACATGGGCGGAAGGCCGGTCAAGAGTGGTGACCACAATAGTTCCAGGACAAATAGAGAAAAAAAGAAGAGACAACACAGAGCAGCAACCTAAAAAAAAAGGACAGTTCTAAAAGGCCTGAGATTTGTGGTGCCCACGCTAATTAAACAGCACAGAACAATTAATTGAGCAAATGAATAATTTAAACAAGCATAATCTTCACTATAGATTTATGCCCATGCGTAGAGAAAGAGAAAGAGATTAAAATGTCTAAGTTTAGAGAATGAAAAATTTGGAAGATTATTTTAGAAAAGGGGCCATTAATTTCTTCATGCGTACTACATGTTAAGTAGCACGAGAGAGACAAAGCTGTACTCTAATTTATTGTTTGCCAGCAAAGGGTCTAATGAAAGAACTACACGGGCCTGGGAAGAAGGCTCTGCAGCTAGAGTGTTTGCCTTGCAAGCATGAAGACCTGAGTTTGAGTTTAGAACTCACGTTTTTTATGTTTTTTAAAAGCTAAGTTGGGCTAACTGAATGGCTCAGCTGGAACTTACCTGGTGGCATGAGTTTAATTCCTAGGACTCACATAAAGGTCAAAAGAGAGAACCAATTCCGCAATGTTGTCCCATGATGTCCACGTGTGTGTCATGGTATCCACGCCCCCCCCCCCACACCGTATTTTCACACACACACAGAATAATAATAAATTTAAAAGTTGCTTTGAAAAAATATCCAGGCACGATAATGTAGGCCCGCGATCTCAGCAAGGGGAAGGGGGGACCGATGGCTCTCTCAGGCTTCTTGGATAGTTAGGCTTATTCGTTTACTGAGTTCTGGGCCACTGAGGGAACCTCAAAAAAAGTAGGGGGGGGAACAGCACTTGAAGAATGATATTTGAAATTGTCCTCTAGCACTAACATGCATACACACACCCCCACATGGGTGCATGCACTCCAAACACACACACACACACACACACACGCACGCACGCACGCACGCACGCACGCACCCACGCACGCACGCACGCACGCACGCGAACTACAGGTAGGTAAACAAATGAAACAAATGTGCTGACAGAAGAGTGATGCAAACTTTAGTAAATTTGAAGTATAAACAATATTACTAGTAATGAAGAAATTATGGCATAGAGGAACTAAGAGCATTGCTCAAGTAGGTAAGTGGTAGAGGCAAAATGATGGATGCAAGGGATCTGACTCTCCAGCCACACTCTAACCTCGCTGCACCACACTCCATGTGTGAGGGCCCGCCAATCAGAGCTTGTAGATAGACTGGGTTAGTGCATACAAATGTCTGACACCTGATTCTCAAGATTAGAATGCTGATTTCTATTGGCTCCTATTCAGAAAAGTCTGGGCAAACTAGTCCCTTGTAATAAATGGGCTATTTCCATAGCCAGCATGGGACTCCACATTCAGAGTCCAGTTTCCATCAATAATAGACATCCATTTCCTTAGTACAGCATTAATTTTGGAGGAGATGTAATAAGAATTAGTCACATGGCCTCCGAGTAAATTAGGATTTTAGCCCAAGAATGGAAATAGAAATGGGTGAAATGAGAGCCTCTCCAACCAGGTCTGTCGCTCCCAGAAACCTTAGAAAGATGTGATTATCCCCAAATTCTCTCTCGTCTCTCTGTCTGTCTCTGTTTCTCTCTCTCTCTCTCTCTCTCTCTCTCTCTCTCTCTCTCTCTCTCTCTCTCTCTCTCTCTCTCTCTCTCTCTCCTATCTGTTTAGCTTCTTGAGACAGGGTCTCTCTGTGTAACTGCCGTGGCTGTCCTGGAACTTACTCTGTAGACCAGGCTGGCCTCGAACTCACAGAAATCTGCCTGCCTCTGCCTCCTGAGAGCTGGGATTAAAGGTATGCACCACCACCGCCTAGCATCCCCCAATTCTCATGAGAAGAACAATACTGTAAAGGACTTGCTTGGGCAAAGTGAAGAAGTCAGGAATTTATGTCAAGAAGGCTCTAGAAATCCCTTGGCAAAAGGTAGCAGAGCTTCTGCCAACAATGTGGCTTGGCTTTTGATCTGCTTTTCCTGATTCTAGAGCTACTAACTCACCTCTATATTATCTTTTTCCTTAATTCCATCTGTTTTTGTTCAGGCTTCTTTAAGAAAGAATCATATATCGTGTATCTCAAAAACAATAGAATTTTATCTGTAAGTCTGAGATCACAGTGAGAACCTGGTTAGTTCTGTCAAAGATCTCCCCGTTAAGATTGTAGGCTACAGATTTTGTATCTCCCCATATTGAAAGCAGAAAAGATCATTCTTTGTTCCTTTTTTATAAGGTTATTCTAGTAGTATTAACTGTCAACTTGATGAAATTTAGAATCATACAGGAGACGGGCCTCTGAGTGTACCTGTGAGAGATCATTTTGATTATGTTAATTGAGGTGGAAAGACCTGCTCACCATGGGTGACACCATTCCCTAGGCAGAAGGTCTTGGACTATATAACAGTAGAGGAAGCCACCTGAGCACTAGCATGCATGCATTCATTGTTGTCTTCTCCTGATTTCAGATGTAATGTGACCAGCGACTTCAAACTCCCGATGTTTGACTTTCCTACACAGATGGGCTGTAACCTGGAATTGGAAGCTAGAATAATCCATTTTTCCCTTAGTTGTTTTGGTCAGGGTATTTTGATACAATAACTGGAAGAAAAAAAATAATGTGGGGGTATTAGTCATGTTCATCAGCATTTTATCCCTAAAACATTATGACCTTTGAAAGATCCCATATCCCAACACCATCGTACTGGGGGTTAGATTTCAGCATATGAACTTGAAATGAACACAAACATACAGTTCACTGTACTGTCTCAGGTTGGTTTAGCACACGTATCCTGCTTCACCATCATTTCAATGTATTTGTGAGTCTGACCACCTGAGACCTTCAGCCTTAACTTTTATTTCTTCCATGACTTTGCATTAATTCTTTTAGTGAAGCAGATTCTAGTCAGCCTGTTAATTACACCACCTCTGTTAAAAGAGAACTTTTAATGCTAGTTGGCTTTCCAGGTTCAAGTCAGCCTTCTTGGTTTGGCTGGCTGTGTATTTACAACGGTATGTGAGGTTTGTTGGGAGGGAGGTGGGGCATAAGAGAGTGTGATGATTAAGCTTGATTGTCAACATGACTAGATTAAGAAATACCCTACGGGGTTAGTGAAGCACACTTGTGGATGTGTCTGTAATGGAACTTCTGGAGACAGAACAAGGACAGCTCTGACATAATAAATGTTTTTTTATTTCTTTATGGATTCATAATATGATGACATCATTGGGAGACGGTGGAAAGTGGAAGGTATGGCCTTTGAAGGACATAAGTGACTAGGGGTATGTCCTTGGAGCTATATTTCACTCTGGCCCCTTCCTATATCTCTGTCTTTACTTCTTGTCTGTCAAGAAGTGAAGCTCAGCATCCATCACATGTTCCCACAACCATAATGTCCTGCCCGAGTGCATGGGGCCAACAAGTGTGTGCTAAACTCTCTAAAATGATTAGGTGGAATAAGTCCTTCTGTCCATAAGTTACTTATGCAGGCATTCTGTCACAGCGGTGAGAAAACTACCACAGATAGAATTTAATCTCACAGCTTCTGTTTTCATGAGATAAAAGCAGGGTTTCAATCTGAACACATCTGGGTCAGTCCAAGTTCTCACAGTCTGTGTGGCTTCCCGTCTGCTGCACACCTAGCATTCTTCTCTGAGAAAGACCCGAGGTGATACTGAAAAGTGAAAATATTTTTTAAAATCAGGCACTGTAGAAAAACATCTAAATAAAATAGATATTCATATGTGTATTTTCTTTCTTTGTTTTATTGAAGGCTTGAAGAAAATGCTACTCAAACAGCCTCAGGTTGCTGACACCAAATCCTGCTCAAATGAGAATATGTCACTGGATGGTCTCAGAGATTCAAGAGGAGCAAACATGTTTGAGCAACTTCCCTTGTTCGTTATAGATTAACCCCTTTAATCCTCACAGCAACTCCATGACACGGGTGCTTGGTCATCTCTGTTTTATAAATTCGGAAACTGAGGCAGAGGAAAGGAAAGTTACCTGTTAGAAGTCAGCCAGCTAAGCGCTACAGAGCCAGAGCCCAAGCACGGGCTAGAAGGCTCCCTAGCCCATGTAGACTATATTCCTCCATTGTTTTGCTGTTTTCTCGGGGCATGTACAAAACATCTTTGTCTGTGAGTAGTGTGCCTGGACTCTCCACTGAATACATTTTTAAAAGTTACATTTTTTTAGATGCAAATGCTCAAATTTTCTGCAATAACAGAGGTATAAATCTATCAGAGGTAAAAGCCTGTCAAGATAATGTTTAAAGCAGAGCCAGTGTTTCCATCCCATAGAATTACCTTTCCATCCATTTAGTGCTGACATGTGAAGAGCTATGAGTCACACTGAAGTCTGTAAACAATACGGTATCAAGCATTAATTGTATTACTTACTCTTGAAAAGCAAAGGTGCCTGAATATTGAAGTGTTCTCATTGTTGCTATAACAACTTCAGCTTGCTGTTATGATACCCTCTGCTCAACAAGAATGCTTATGTTGATCAGAACTGAGGTTCGTGTGGTTTGAAAATGTGATATATCTATGATGCATGTCACTTAGCCACTTCATTTATAAAGGAGAATAATGAGCAACTGGCAATAGGTAGTGAATGAAATTCTTCAAGAGATGAACTCAGAGAAGTTCATTATGGAGCATGGTTTGTGGCTGGGTGAGATCACTTTGACTGTGGCCAGGTACTATCCCCACACTATCATTGCCTGGATATACCCAGAATGACGCCTGGCAGTGCCATTTGCCAAATAAATGCTGTGTAAATGATGGATTATCCCTCAGTTAACCCCACAGTGAGTCTCTGGTCTCTTCAGTTTTTACTATGCTGATATCAAGTCAAATACAGGGAGCACTTGATTTAACCCAGAGAATCAGGTTTTCTTTTCTGACTTCTTGTTTTCATCTTGGTTTTCCTAGCAGAAGAAGCATACTCAGCAAATAATTAAACACTATTGACCTATTAATATTCAAGGAAACAGACCGATTCACATGATTTAATATCCAGAAATACCAATAAATTGTTTAAATTATAGAGCTAATTCAATCTTTATTGCTTCCTTCAAATATAAATGAGACTGATGAGACAGAGCTCATTGGTGCAAGCCAAAGAGACCTACAGTTCAGCATCCAGTGAGCCTTGGGATGTTCTTCCCATCAAAGAGCATTTCCCAAGGTGTCACTAAATAAGTTCAAGTCTTTGCATGTTCTCAGTTTAACACCGGAAGTGTCTATAAACACTGGGTCCAGGGGACAGATATCTCTGATTTCCCCAAGGTACGTCTTGCTCTAACGTGTAGATTCTTCACCAACCACGTGGAGAGAAAAGAAAGTAGGACCCAAAACTGTGGGCAGCAAGGCCTGCCAACCACTGTGGTCCAGATGCCAAAGAAAGAGCCACTCTATGAGCTAGAATCATTATCTCATTGTCACTTGTCTCCAGTCTCACGCAGACATCACATTTGAAGACAGGTGCCAGAGTCCATCCTCTGGGCAAAGCAGGACACACTTGCCAGTAAGTTTTGCTATTACCTTTTTTATTGTCTCTTTTCCCTACACTAACTTGTTCGCTCACTGCCCCCATACACATGTACTCAGTAAGTTCACAGAACCAGGGCAAAAGATTGAACGTTAAGTGTGTGTGTGTGTGTGTGTGTGTGTGTGTGTGTGTGTGTGTGTGTGTGTGTGTTGTGAATATTACAATAATGATATGATTGCTCATGCAGGTCAAGTCCAAGTTTGGAGCAAAGTTGAGATTTAATATAAAATAGCTTAAGAAACAAAATCCAAGGGGTTCAGAGTGTTTGGGGGTTATGGAACCAGGTGGAAAATAGGGACATGATCCAAACAGTACTTAACAAGGACCGCTAACGGTCTCTTGAATGAAGAATATGGTAACTAGAGGGTCTTTTTTTTTATACATCTAGAACTCAATTCTAAGATGAAATAAATTATAAACTATCAAATGCTTAATACACACTTTTCAGGAGGAAAATGTTCACAAATTGATCACACAAACACATACCTTTGGAAACTGAGGAAAACGCTCATGGGCCCGTATAATTGTGGGCAAACTTCCTTCAGTGTGCTGAGCCCAGTGTGAGCCGGAGGCTGGCTTAGTGTATTGTCTACAACCACCCTCAGCCTTGACAGATCCGTCTGGCAGCATCGTGACAGGCTGTTTCTCATAACCAGTGTCCATCCTCTTGGTTTCTGTAGCCTTGATGACTGACAGCATGATTCTGAGATATATTGAAAAATATCAGAGGATTTTTGTTTGCATTTTCTATTTTGTTAAGCTAATAGTTGCATATTTTTTCCTTCATTAAATTACACATCCTGGAAGTTAAACTTTTTTAAACGTCAACCGAAAGCTTTTGACAGATATGCCATTTAAAAGAGTCAAGCCTCTTTCTGCCCTATCTTGGCAAGGTGTCACTTTGCATAGAAAAAAAAACAATCTTAGTCTAGAAATAATAAAAAGTGCAATTTTTTAATGTGAAGAGAATTTTACATATATTCCATAAGAAAATCTATTTAAATGTTCTTTCTCTTTCTACTTCTACATCCAGACTCTCACCAAACAAAACAGCTCCCCAAATCTGTCTAAATGCCACTTTTTTCTAAATGGTCTCTTTTCCCTTCTTTTCTCTTTGCATTCTGGATCTTTCTCCTTTTCTCCCTGGTGAGACTCTAGGAAGCAGCTGTGACCCCTCATCCCCTCACCAGTCATCTGATGCAGTCTTATCAAACGTAAGTGGTCAGAACTTGAGTAATAATTGTTCGTGGCCCTAAATTTTTGTACCTTTGGATGGTTTGCTCATGCAGGATTTAGCCACATCTACTTCCTTAATTCACTTGCCTGGCAGGTATCAGTCAATCATAATAACATGCAGCCAAGTATAAACAACACTTAAGTCCAAGTAAAGGTCAACATTAATTGCTCAAAAGCTAATCTTGTGTATTTTGTGCTTTAGTAGGTAATTACAACTGCATCAAAATGTATTGATCTACGTGCAACTGCCAAGTCTGCCCAGCTGATTTCAAGAAGCACCTTACCTCCGAGATGGTTAAATTATCTAGTTGTGGAAACATAATATTTGGAGTAGTTCTGGGTCTTTTGTGGATTATATATATATATGTTCATACAATATATTATACATATAGCATATATATGCATATGAAAACATATGTAGCATGTATGCCCATCTCTCTATATACATACTACACTACACAATCTACAAAATATATATTATATGTTTTTATATATTGTGCATATATATACACAAAATTAAGAGAAATTTGATTTTTGAAGAGCTACATTTATTCTGTTTTTCAAATTAAACCCCAAAATTTTCAGGGAGGATATTCCTAATGAAGATAATGAAGTACCCAATGCCAATCAACCTTGTTTTCTTCATCCATTTAAACATCTTATAATCTCAAATAATATTATGCATCTAATTGGTATAAATAACTGGATTTTAAAATCATTGTTTTTGAGACACCGTCTTGCTGTGTAGCCCAGGCTCGACTTAGACTCACAATCCTCCTGCTTCACAATCCTCCTGCCTCAAACCCCCAAGTGCTGCTATTTCAGGTGAGCCTTGCCACGCCAGGCTAGTACTATAACTTTGGTTGAATACGCAGTCATATAACCCTGCTTCAATCAAAATGTAAAACAGCCCTACCTATGCCTTTTCCAGTCTCACACAAATAGAATCACATACGATGCTGCCTTTTAAATTTGGTTTTCTCCACTTATCAGGGCACATTTGAGATCCATCCACATTGTGAAGATATTAGAAGCTCACTTTTTTATTGCTAAATATAGTATTCTATTATTATTCTAATACTAAATAGTACTCATCACAGTCCACTTCACTTCCTGGTTAGAGTGTGTGGATTTCAGCAACGATGTTCATGTGCTCTGCAATGAGGCAGTTACCCTGCCTTTTAGACAGTAACTTTAGGTCCCTGGTTCATGGGAAATATCCCTATGGAGATGTTTGCTACTACAATCCGAATTTAAAGGATTATCTTTCCAAACCTCATTGTCTACTTAGATCTTACTGACCATTATTTTTATGGAGTTGTAAGGTGGAACCAAGTACTTACGGAAAGGTGTGAAAATTTTCATCTTAAAGTGGCGCACGCCTTTAATCCCAGCACTCGGGAGGCAGAGCTGGGTGAATCTCTGTGAGTTCAAGGCCAGCCTGGTCTACAAAGTGAGATCTAGGACAGGCTCCAAAGCTACACAGAGAAACCCTGTCTCAAAAAAGCCAAAAAAAAAAAAAAAAAAAAAAAAAAAAAAAAAAAAAAAAAGGCCTGACCAGATTTAATATTGAACAGTTGATTATTCTATCAGTGTCCAGTTAGGAAACAAGAATAAGCGTGCTCACTCACAGTCTATGATGATGAAGTGAAGTCAGACTATAGGAAGGACCTGTAAGTACATGAGCACAGAAAAGACACAGTACCTCAGCTCACACAGTACCTCAGCTTGCTCAGTACCTCAGCTCACACAGTACCTCAGCTCACTCAGTACCTCAGCTTATGCAGTACCTCAGCTCGCTCAGTACCTCAGCTCACACAGTACCTCAGCTCACACTGTACCTCAGCTCATTCAGCACCTCAGCTCACACAGTACCTCAGCTCACACAGTACCTCAGCTCATGCAGTACCTCAGCTCATGCAGTACCTCAGCCCATGCAGTACCTCAGCTCACACAGTACCTCAGCTCACACGGTACCTCAGCTCACACAGTACCTCACCCCATGCAGTACCTCACCCCATGCAGTACCTCAGCTCTACTCACACCGTGCTCTCAGTCTCATGGTGTGTACTATCTCACATAGTATTTAGAGACATCAAAAAATAAAAATGCTTGCTGGGGGTTTGTTTGTTTGCTTACCTTCTTTGCCTTTTTTTTTTCTTCTGTTGTTTTAAGCCGGGCACCAGCCTGAAAGAACAGTAGTGCTCCAGCAGACCATGAAAGGGCCGGCCTCACAAGCTTTTCTTGTATCTGTTTCCTAAAAACCTTCTGATTGAAGTCTTAGAAAAAAATATATAAAAAGAGAGGACTTTCCTCCTGAGGGACTGTCTTTCTCTTGGGGGTGAGAAAATGGAGGAGGAAGGAAGAGTCAATCCGAGGAGGTACATCCTAACAACACCAGACATGAGAAGAGGTGCATCCTAACAACGACACCAGATATGAGAGGAAGCAGGGTTCATGCCCAGGAAAATGAGAATTCAGGAACCTCACGAAAAAGTACCCTGCCTCTGCCATAGAGGTGCACCTAGCCTGATGAAGCCGTGGAGACAGGAATGAGCAACGTCTCCATGGCAGCCTGTGGTACTAATGACTGGAATAAGATAAGCAGAATCCTTCCTCCGAATCTGGTATCCTGGAAGAAGAATTCCCAAGGAAGGCCTGGAGTTTTCCCCCTTTTGCCCATATAATAGAATCAATGCTTTTACCCAGGAGTCAAGTCCAGTTGGATAAAGTAAAGATCATTTTATGGAGTGCATATTAAAGCTTTTGAACCCAAAATGGTCACACAGACAAACAGAATTTGAGTTCCTCTTTAATGCTGCTTTACATGTTTTTCAGAATGTGTGAGGGCACAAGGGTGTCATGAGGTGCAGAGGTGTGATCCTCAGCTACAGTGGTCACTGTCAAAGTATCATTCTGTAAGAAAGCATGGGATCAGGAGAACACTAAATTAGTTCCAAATGTCATTTCTCTGCAAATATTGCATCTCCAGATTGTCTTGCCCTAACGTGGAAAGGGACCAGGTGGGACAGTGCCACATCCGTTTTATGACATCTTCATTTACTCCAGGTGACTGTGTCGATGGTGAGATGTTTTATCACACATATAATTAATTGCTTCTCTGAGCATTTGCTATTTTTATTCATGATATATTCACTCATTCATTTGCTTGTTCGTTCACTCACCAAATGCTTTAGCCGGTCCCAGACACTTTGGTCAACACGTCAATGTCATCTCGGGTTGTGCACGAAGCCTTTAACTACTCTAATCTGACCCCCCTTCATTCTTGACATGGATCTGACCTCTATTTTCTGAGGATGAAAATCAGGTCCAGCGAACATGCCTAAGTCCCTGACAGAGTTCAAGGGTTCAGATTCCTTTCATTAAGAGAAAGGATTTCTAAATGGCAAGAGAGCACCACTGTTAACCCACTGTGAATTCCCAGAATCTTACTGATGGCACTTAAAAAAATAGTTTGTGCAATAATGGAAAGACATACTAACACTGTCATTATATGTGCCCTGCAAAGAGCCTCTGCAAGGCGCAGGCGGGCGGGCGGGCGGGGCTTGTGTGTGAATTGAGAAGCACTCTGAAATAAAGACAGTAGCTCAAACACTGAAAATGAAAAAAATTGCTGCAAAGGTTTTGGTGACTGTTTTTCTTATAAACTAAAAGTCTTCTGTATGCCTTGGGAACTATGGATGATTAACATAAAAAATCCTGAATATCCAAGGAATAATTCTTGTTTTGAACCCTGAAGTGTGTTTTAGAAAGACCTCCTAACTTCTACAATTATAATCTTCATTTTTTTTTCTTCTTCAAGTTTTGGTTTTTATTTATCTACATGAAACTGACTGTAATGTTCTTAGGCCTGTGTTTATAATTTGTGTTCAGGAAAGGCAAATCTGGAACATTGAATTTTGTGTTGCTAAATTGTAGGTTTTTATATTAGTAAGTTCTCTTGCTTGCAGAAAAAATACTCAGGAACAAAGAGAATTCTAGATTTATTTTTTTTAAAATGTAATCCAGATAGAAACTGCCAAATATAATGTGGGAATTTTAATACAAGGTTACAAAGTAAATGTGTGAAAGGTCACGCAAGAATATCAATAAATGCCTCAGTAAGAGATGACATGGACAGACGGAGCACACCCTGGCAGGGGGACCTGTCCATGATCACTTACAAGTGTCAACCGAGCAGCCGCTGTGATGTATCTCACCAGGAAAACAGTCACAGCAACAATGCCATCGTGTGATGTGTCCCATTCTCTCCAGAGTACAAGCAAAACAGGATTTGATGTGTGCAGGCTTAGCCAGAGAGATAAGTCCGGGTCTCAGCTTCTTCGTCTATGGTTTGAGAAGGTTGAACTCAGCCTCATCAACCATCACTGGTATTCAGTTCAAATCATTGTTGTAGGGTACAGATTCATAACAGACAATGAAATAATCCTTCTGAACGCTTTTGACCACTTGGCCTCATAAGCAAGTGTCTCCTGTGATGCTTAACTTTTAAGTGTCCCTGACATAAGTGGCGTTAGGAGATGAGTTTTGTGATTTTGAGACAGTTCAAGGGCACTTTATGAAGTTCTCTTACAGCTCATTGACATGTCTAAAAGGGCAAAAAGGACTTGGATTTCATCACAAAAATGTTGAGAGAATAAGCCAGTATGTAGATAGACATTAATAGATAGATACAGGTAATAGCCATGTAGAAACTATAAGAAATATAGATTATATTTAATACCTATCTATAAACTCATTTGAAAAACACAGCCTTAGACTGAAACTTAGAAAGTATACCGCTAAATACTAATGAAGAGAAAAGTGGAATAACTATGTTAATTTCAGTCATAATGAATTTCAGAGGAAAGATGTTTTTTAGGAGTACCTACAGGCATAACAAGATGGTGAAACAAACGATTCTCCCAGAAGACATAGAGATCCTCCTAACAACAGACCCTCATAATACATTAAGCAAAGTATGAGATCTGAAGTGAGAAATAGCTTCAAAGCTATGGTTGGATTCTTCAACTTTCCTCGTTTGGGAAGCCATAGACCAAGAGGCAGAAAACCAGTAAGAAGCCAACAGTGCAGAAAATTAGCTTGTAATCGATGTTGACAGAGCATCCCATCCAATGACAGCTGGGTACAGATTCATGTGGAATACATACATGATAGTCACCAAGAAACACTATGCAAAACACTACAAAAACCTTAATATCCACGACCATAGAAACAATACAAAGCATATTCTCTGACCACAGCAAACTTGAGAAAACTGTAACAGATTAACATCAAATTCTCAGTAATAGCTGGACTAAAGAGAAATTGAATAAACTTAAAAATATTTTGAAGTAAATGACACTATAAATATTGGTATTTATAAAATGCAGCTAAGAAGGGTTTAGAGGGAAATTTGTGGCATTGAATGCCTGTGTTAGAAAACAAAAATATCTATGTGACTAGCCTATGCACCCAATGGAAGGCGCTAGAACAAAGAGAAAGTTAAATCTAAGGTGAACAGAAGGAAGAAAACAATCAATATTAGAGCAGAAATCAACAACAAGTTCCCTAAGATCAGGGACTCTTGTACCAACCATTAAACTTCATTCCAGACATAAAGCCACGATAGTTAGAGAAGGGAATGAACTATAGTCATCTAGATTTGGAAAGGAGAAATAAAAATAATTCCTATTTGCAGATTGTATGCTTTTTACAAAGAAAATCGTGCGTTCCGATATATAGCTATTGGAAATAATGAACGCATTCTCCAGAGCTGCAGGATGTAAGATCAAGGCACCGAAGTCAGTTGTAGTCCTGTGCACTAGCAATGAAAACCGCAAAAGCAAAAGTAAGCAAACAGCAGCAGGGCAGGCGAGACGGCTCAGCAGGTAAAGGCTGTTAGCACCAAGCCTGACGACCTGAGTTCAAGCCCCAGACCGAAAGAAAGGAAAGCACCGACTCCTCCAAGTCGTCGTCGTCACACACGTTCTGTAGGACATACAGCCACACTTGAGTATATAAATAAATAGATAAAGAAATGTTTTTAAAAAGGAAGCAACTCTGTTTATAAGGGTACCTAGAGGAATACAATATTTACGAATAAATTTAACAAAGGAACATAAAGCATTGTTAAAAGGCACCAGTGAAAATACAAATAAATGAAAAAGTCTGAATTCAAGAATCAGGAGACACGGTTAAGAGGGCAAACCACTCTAAGTAGATTAATAAACTGAATGCAATCCCCACTAGACTATCTATTTGATATTCACGCGCAGTAAACCATGCTCAGGTGACGAGGCACGTGAACCTTGGAGTATTTTATCTATAAACAGGGGAGTGGACTTGCTCAAATTCTTCTAATCTTATTCCAAGTCAGGAGTAATAAGAAGTGAACGTAACTTAGTAAGTAAGCCTTTTTTATTTAGGTGGGCTATAAGCTACAGAAGTGTGAAGTTTGGTGGATTTTCACAAACTGTACAGGATCAGAACAACCATTTGAAGCAGGAGACCACACACCACCCTCACCTCAGCACACCAGCTCCTCATGAGGGATGTGCACGGAATTGACTTCCAACCTATAAAAAAATGAGTGCATATTGGATTCTGAATGCCAGCATCGTGTGTGACCAGAAGTTGGACTGAGAAATTCTTTGTTTTGATTTCGAGATGTCCTACACTGCAGGAAGTTTTTGCATTTGTGTAGCTATTAGCACAAACTTTCAAACCTTAGCTCGAAGTTTCTTGAGCTGTTGGTGCTTAGGGATTTTTACTTCTCCTTCACTCTTCCTATCAATTACCCTGGGCACACCCCGAGACTGGTCTCTACGGTGACTTGTGCCATGAACTCTGAAGAGTTTTTCCCACAGTATCTTTTCATGCCCTTAGTTACTACATCACTACTTTATTTTCCTGAATTTCTGCCCCCTCTTCTAGTCCGTCAATTATGGGGGTGGAGATGGTAGTTATTGCCCTAGAAGGAAACACATGGCACAGCTATTGCAATAAAGATATTCTAGTCGGTGGTCAAGGAGAGCTTTCCGTAGTGCACCCTATTTCTTTGGAGGATGAGGTGAGAAAGCATCTGCTATCTGGAATGAACAGACTCGAATCAAAACAAAAAGTTTGGTCACATCTTATGACTCCTCATCCCACCCCCAGAGTCGAAGGCCT